CAAACTCAAGAAGAAAAACCCTAAAAGAATAACCCAGAAGCAAATTTTGACATTTATTCACATGCTGCAATTTTCTAAATATTCTGACATTCCAAAAAAGGGGGAAATTAATCTAGAAAAGGGTGGTCAAAATATCTTTGATTGGAGTAAAATTTTATTTTAGTAAAAGACACACTGCCCTAATCTTCCTCAAAATATTCCCCCTTGCTTCCAATATACCTACCCTGCCATTCCTACCACTTTCTGAAGTACTTATGCACTCTTTTGTGTCTGTCTTTATGAAGTGTGCTCAGAAAGATGGCAAATGCCATCCAGTGGATTGGCAGCTCCTAAAAACACCACACTACGTCCTCATCCACCTTATTCACTCGATCTGCCCCTTCCCGAAAGTCAAAATGACCCATGAATAAATTCACAAAACGGAGGCACCCAGGATAGCATCAGGAAGTAACAGGAAGAATGGGTAAGTGTGCTCCAAGGGTGGTAGGATATTTTGAGGGTAACTAATGGCCATGTGTCTTTTACTATAATAGAATTTTAAAATGTAAATATTTACTACTTTTTTGATCATACTTTGTATAATGCTAACACCCAAAAATATATAATCAGTACTGGTGACGCTTTTTGTGTCTTTCTAAACTCATATTTCAAATGTTGCTATTGTTAAACTTTATTTGCAATTTTATGTCCTTATAGTTTACAATTAAAATTTTAGCTTCTAAAATCATATTCAACAACTGAAGTACTCAGTTGTTTAAGTTGTTACTTTTGTGCCAGCTCCTTCCTGTGAGCCAGTGGTGGCCATGCCTCCCAGGAAGAGAACCCAGAAGAAGCCAACCCCTTCCTGTGAGCCAATCATGGGCTGGGGGACAAGATGTCCCACACCCCATCTCCTGCCATAAGCAACAGGCTGATTCAGATAAACATGGGCTGAGATGATAGCATTGAAGTAAATAAACAACTTAATGCCTATATGTTTGATTGACTTTGCAGGCCTAAAGCCAATAAGTACTCTGAGCATCTATTTAGAGGATAACAATATGCACTATAGCAACTATGAGTGATTTCCTTCTGAAGGTGATAGACACGGTTAATTCCCTATTATCTTGTTTTAAAGTCTTGTATCATTTTTATTGATTGGTTTTATCCTGCTTTGTTTTATTTTATTATGTGTGATGGCATAGGCAGCTATTTCACAGATAGCAAGATATATTATGGTAGCCATTGTTGATTTCCTATTACTATGTTTTGAAGATAAAATAAAAATAAAGAAAGAAAAAGAAAAAAGAAGGGAAAAAAGTTACTTTTATTGAACTGTAGCTGGAATATATTAATTTTAGGACACAAACAATAGCATATTAAATTACCACTGCAATTAAAAATACCAATGTAAGCTAAAATTGATCATCATTTAGGCAGAGTTTGATTATATTATAAACACCTCTTTTATTTCTATTTTCCATTTAATCTATTAGTACGGATATAACAGCATGCCTGCAGGGACAAGCTTGCCAAACCATAAACTTAGAAACAACAATGTTTCACCCATGTGATTCTATTTTCTTTACTAATTGGCTCTATTAGTTATTTACTCATTCACTTCATAGAGGAAATAGTATCCATAAAGGCATGAATATGGAAAGCACTTAGGATACAGAAAGAAGCTCAAGTGGCCACAAACAGCACAGCAGCACGAGATAAACCTAAAGGGCTACTCACTGCACGCCAGCCACTATTTGAAGTCTCTTAATGAATGAACTCATTGGACTCTCTTATAACCCTGTGAGTTAGTGATGTTATCATGTTTTACAGACCAGGAAACTTAGGTAAGGAGTGATTAAATAATTTGCCCTGAACCACAATGATGTAAGAGCAGGTTTTAGGAAACACAGAGACAGGGGGCTGGCGATTTAACTCAGCAGCATAAACGCCTGCCTTGCAAGCAGGCAGTCGTGAGTCCGATCCCTGGTACCGATAAAAAAGACAAAGACAAAGACAAAAACAAAAACAAAAACAAAAAAGAAACACAGAGACAGAGCCAGGCATGGTGGCCCATGCCTGCAAACTCAGCACTCAGGAGCTAAGGCAGGAGGACTGTTTCAAATTCAAGACCAGCCTGGGCTAGAAAGTGAGCTCAGAGCTCACTGCATAGCAAGACTCTGTCTCAAAAAGACCCACCCCCAACCTCCCACCAAAAGAAGCACAGACATTGGAAAAAGAGTCTCAAAAGAACAAAATAACTTAACTTGAACTTCTCATCTTTTCCCCCTTGAAGTATAAAGTTAATACAAAGAAAAACATACTAATTAATGGAATGGTCAGTATATTCTGAAGTAACAAAATGCAAAGAAATATCTGCTTTACTAAATACAAATGTATTGCCTCCCACTTACAACTTCCTTTGCTTAAGGAAATCAGGTAATATTCTACAATTTATGATTAAAGTAATTCAGTGTGCTACATAAGGGAAAACAAGTTAACCACTAAAAAAACCCAAAGGATTTGAAAATCATAAAAAAAATAGGGAGAAGCAAATATTCACATTGCATAGAAAATGAAAATAATTATTGCCAGTTCTTTTAAACTGTCAAAAGCTACTTTTTTTGTATAGTACTGATAATTGAATCCAAGGCTTCATGCATTAGGCATCACTGAGCTACAACCTGAACCCCTGATGCTAAATTTAACTGAGTATATGAAGAAATTCAATTTATAACTGTTTCAAAAGACAGCTACTAGATCTGGGTATGGTGGCTGATGCCTGTGTGCCTGAGTTCAGGGATTACAGGTGTGAGCACCAACCTGGCTCTTTCTTTTCGTGAATTTTATAAAATATTTGTATGTTCTTTATTTTTTTGAAGAATCAGTTCTTTGATTCATTAATTATTCTTTTTTTTGGAGGGGGACTGGAACTTTAACTCAGGACCTTGTGCTTGCTAGGCAGGTGCTGTGCCACTGAGCTATATCCACAGCCCCATTAATTATTCTCTTTATTGTGTTTTCACTCAATTTCATTAATTTCTGCTCTGATTTCTTCCCTTTCTTCCTTGTACTAGGTTTCATCTTGGACTGTTTTTGTTGTTTAGGACCCTTAGGTGCCTCACTGGGTTATGAATTTCGACTCACTGGTTTTCTGCTGTAGGTGTTCACAGCAATAAACTTCCCTCTCTGGGCTCCTTCTATTGTGTCCCATGGATTCTAATGGTTTCCTGGCATTATCTCTGATTCTAGAAACAGTTCTATTTCTTGATTTTTTTTCTTTGCCCCACCAATGTTCAGCATATGCTATTTAAAAACCATGTGGGTTCCACTGCCACCGATTTCTAGTTTTAGTGCCCTATGAACTGACAGTATACATGAGATAATTTGTGTTCTTCTGTATTTGTTAAAGCAGACTTTATGGACTCTTATGTGGTCTATTTTGGAGAAAGTGGTCCGCTGCTGAGAAAGATGTGTTTTTCTTACAATAGGGGGCAGAAAACTCTGTAGACAGCCCTTAAGTCTGTTTGTTTGAAGCTATGGCTCAACAGTGTTATTTCTTTTTTAATTTGTTTAGTTGATACGTTTGTGACAGTGGGGTACTGAGGATCCTCACTATGACTACATTGGTGTTTATTTGCTGTTTCATGCCCTGCAGTGTTTCATTAAGCTTAGCTGCATTATGCCTTTCACTTGAACTGTTCCTTTACTGTACGTAGTGACCTTCTTTGCTTCTTCTGGTCAGTTTAAACTTGAAGTCTGCTTCAAGAGTAAAACTGCTACCTCTCCCTTGTTTTAGGGGTTGTGGTCCAACAGCAGAAGCTCTGGAGGCATTCTGTTGCCTTGTTTTGTCATGTTCCATTTTACTTTTGTGCTGAGAGTTGAGGGTGAAAAGAGAGAAGACAATGTTGCTGGTATGATGAACTCTTCAGTTACTTTCTGTTTTCCTGTAATGTGATCTTGTCTACTCAGTTTAACTGGACCAGACCCAGTCACTCTCTTGTAGGGAGAGAATTTCTACTGGATAGAACAGTGTCCACATATCCAACCATCAATCATACTTTAGTGCCTCTTATAGACTACAGTGTTATTAGTAGTTAGTCTCTATCTGGAGGATTCCTCTTTCAGGTTAGTTTTCCCTGTGTGGGTACAACTTCTTCCCCCACTTCGGCACATGTGCATTAGCTGGTATGCTTGAAGTTTCTCCAATATACCTCTTTCTCTAATCAGTCATGGGGGGATCCTTTTCCTTTCTTCCTTTCTATCTATCTATCTATCTATCTATCTATCTATCTATTATTTTGCAACAGGGTCTCACTAAATCACTGAGCTACTTAGGTTCAAGTCTGTGATCCTACCTCAGCTTCCCAGAACATTAGGATTATAGGAGAGCACCACCATGCTCAGTTCAAGATTTCAAGAGGCATTTAAAACACCTTTATACAAAGTTTTGGAAACAGGATAAATCATAAATTATCAACTTGTAGATGAATATGTACATGATTACTCTTCCATAATTGAGAAGTTTTACTTAAGTAAAATAAAAAACCAAACTTACCCAAGTGTGGGAGCACATGAGTAAAAACCCCAACTACTTGGAAGACTGAAATGCAAGGATCATAAGTTTTGGGATAGCTTGGTAACTTAACAAGAATCTGTCTCAAAATAAAACAAAAAGGGCTGAGTATATAATTCAGTAGTAGAGTGCTTCCTAGCATAACTAAGGCCCTGGGTTTAATCCTCTTTACTATAGGGAAGAAGGTAAAAATGCTCCAAAATTTCCAGTGAAAATCAGAAACTGTGAATCTAAAGAATTTTAGGCATATTTCAGCATGGTCCTATGATGGAGTGAATAATGTATTTCAAGATCCTCATTTTTGATAGCAGTAGAAACTATCTATGACATTTCATACATGAAAGATTATTAGGTGGTCCACAAAATAGTCAATGAATACTTGTCAGAACTTTTTAGAAGGTTATCATTGTCTAAATCATACTAATCAGACATTTTGCACACTTACCCAAGATTCGTGGTATAATACTGTCAGTAAATACATTGCATAATCATAGTTCTGTCTCTTTAAAGGGCATCTTTAAAAGAGAAAGAAAAGAAGTCACTATTCTAGAAATTCAGTATAAAGAATTTATACATGTACAATATCAGGAATTCTTTTGGCTTTTAGGAAAATTCTTAAGACTAAAAAAATTGACATATTTAACTACTTAAGGATATTGAACACTGGTGTTTTATATCTTTGACTTCATCACTAGTACAGTTATTTATATATGACAATGGTCTTAAGGTATTTTTAACGTGACTGTTCAATTCAAGCTCCCTTTACCAACTCAGTGCTAAGAATTTGCACATGTATATATAATGACTTCGTTTTAAAAATGGGCTGGGGAATGAAACACAAAATAGAAAAACGGACATGGTGTTGAGTGCTTATAGTTCCAGCTACTTGGAAAGCTGAGGTGAGAGAATCATCTGAGTCCAGGAGTTGAGGGGCAAGCCTGGACAGCACAGTGAGACTGTCTCCAAGAGAGAAAAAAGAAAAAAACCCAAATGGAAAAGCAGACATGTGGCCATACTTGCAACCCCGAAACAGAATGAGACAGGAGGATCACAAATTCAAGTTCTGCCTGAGTAACTTAACAAGACCCTGTATGAAAATAAAAAAGAAAAATGCCTGGGGATCTAATAGATAATCTTTATCCTCCCAGAGCAGATTCTTCTGAAAGTAAATGCAATGCTGCACAATATTTAAAATGGAATTAATATTCTAAAATTAGGTAAAACTTCTACATACATATGAGGTGACATGTTAAACTTTTAGAATACTAAAACAATACAAAGGAAAAAGCGACTGTTTCTAACTTCTTCTTCTTTTTCCTTTTTATCGGTACCGGGGATCGAACTCACGACTGCCTGCTTGCAAGGCTGGCACTTATGCCGTTGAGCTAAATCCCCAGCCCCCTAACTTCTTGAAATATTATACAAAATGACTATATAACAAAAGACTTTAACTATACTGTTTATTCACTAGTTCACTTGTGCTGAATGTGGTGGTGTATACCTGTGGGCTCAGCACTTGGGAGGCTGAGGCATGAGGATTGCCACAAATTTGAGGCCAATTTAGGCTACAGAGTGAGTTTAAGGCCAGCCTGAACTATAAAGGGAGATCTTGTCTTAAAACAATAAAAACAAAAAATGTCCACTTGTGTTTATTTAATAGCCCTTTGTTCAATACACAATTGTTACCATAAAAGACAAACACACAGATTCTTATCTTCAAAAAGTCAACATCATGAGACACTTAAGAGTTTCAAATAATATCATAACATTTTAAAGTTCTTTTTTTTTTTTTTTTTGAGACAAGGTTTTGCTATGCAATTCAGGCTGGCATGGAATTCACAGTGACATTCCTGCCTCAACCTCCTTAGTGCTATTTAAGGTTTTTTAAAGGGCTGGGTATTTAGCTCAGTGGCATAAGCGCCTGCCTTGCAAGCATGCAGTCGTGAGTTCAATCCCTGGTACTGATAAAAAAGGTGTTTTAAACTCAGAAGGTGCCTATGCTTTTCTTGCCTTTACACTGCTGCCATCTCTACATATGCATCAGTCTTTTCACCACTGAGCCTCATGATGAAGAGGACACTTCCAAATGTTTTCGAACTGCCACAGGATAGGGAAAGGAGACATGTTGACTCATTTTTAACTTAAAAACAACCAAAATATATTTCTAAAAATAAAAGAATCATTTAGCAAAAAAACATTTCAGGAACCGGTCTTTATTTTTCTTCTTTTTAAAAATTTTTCATATTTTCATACAGGGTCTTGCTAGGTAGTCCAGACTGGTCTTGAACTCACTATGTAGTCCAAGTTAGCCTCAAACTTGTGGCAATCCTGCTGCCTTAGCCTCCCAAGTGCTGGGATTACAGGAATGCCACCATGCCTGGTATAGAACTAGTCTTTAAATCAAATGAAAATCATCTAATTTATAAGCACATATACCACAGTTAATGCTACTTTTGGAAATATCTATCTTACCTCTAAAATTCTGATTATTTACAAAAGTACCTTGATAAAGTTTCACATATATAATTTAATAATTTTAATTTTGAACTATAAAACTTACATTTTTTTTTTTTGTCATTTTCCTTTTTATCGGTACCGGGGATCGAACTCATGACTGCCTGCTTGCAAGGCAGGTGCTTATGCCGCTGAGCTAAATCCCCAGCCCCAAAACTTACATGTTTTATAAAAATCTGTTTAAAGGAAAACATTCTGTTTTATGGAATGAGATACTACCTGATTTTAGAATCACAAAACCTATTAAGAAAACACAACACCTATTTAAGCATTAATCACTAGCAAATCATATTTTTGTCTTTTAACATCTTGCTTTTATACACATGGATACATGAAAATCAAAATGAAAAATAACAATAAAAATCTGGGCAAGGTGTATGTACTTGTAATTCCAGGACTTGGGAGGCTAAGCAGGAGAATCATGAGTTTGAGGCCTGTCTCTAGAGTTCAAGGCCAGTCTGGACTACATGGGGAGAAAGTCTCAAAAACAAAGAAACAAATCAATAAAAAAAACCTAAAAAACCAACAACAAAAAAATTCCAGGGGCCAGGGATATAGTTCAGGTGGCAGCACCTGCCTGGCAAGCATGAGGTCGTGAGTTCAATTCTCAGCACAAAAAGATACACAAGAAAACAAAACAAAAAACCTCCAAAAATCAAAAAACCAAAGCAATCCAAAACAATAACATGGAAACCTTGCATAAATAAAGAGCACAAGAAAAAAAAAAAAAAAAAGGAGGTTGTGTGTGGATACTAAAATATGAATTAGAAAATTCTCCAATAAAGTGACATAATAAGACTATTTCTATTATTACTACAATCTTTCTAAAAAAGGACTGTCAGGGAACTGTAGGGCAATAAAGAAGTATATGCTCAGTTTGTTCAATTTTTCAATCTTTACCTATCTGTTTTGATGGTGAGCACATCTGTGGTCTTGCAGTATCGCTCTCCTACAAGTTTAATCAATTTCTTCTTTGCATGATCATCTAAATTCAAACGGGAACAATTCACCTTAAAATAAAACAAAAAAATTAGATCACATAATTTGGAAAATTAATGGAAAAGCCAGGAGTGCTATCTATATTAACACTAAATCCACTAAAATTTTTTCAAACTTCTTCTCATATAGAGTTAGTAGTCAGCAAGCACTATGAAACTTCATCTTACCTATGGAAAGAAAAAGAGGGATAAAAACACTTTATCCTAAATTCTTTGAACGTTCTGGACTCGAGTACCTTTCCAGAAAAGACTAATGATGTCTCTTGAATATGTGAAATTATGGTGCTACTGCACACACAGAATTAAACTCAGTTAATTGTGTTAGTGTGTCACTTTTCTCTCACTGCTGGGACAAAATACCCTACATCCAAAATGAAGGAAGGAAGGGTTTATTATTTAGTTCAGTTTGTTTCAGTCTGTAATCAGCTGGCTCCAAAGCAGGTGGCATGACACAGGGGTAACACTTCAAGATAGCAAAAGCAACAAGAACAAAAAGTGGGCAGAACAAGCCTCTTCTCTTTCCTTATATTGTAAACAGGCTTCACCCCCTCCCCCAGAGCAGGTGTAGCACTGGCATCACCTCTAGGCCCTCCTCTTACACAGGCTCAGGATGTTTCCAAAGTCAGGACCCAGGCTCCTTGCTGAGTCTCTTAAACTTCTAAACTTCTCAAGTTGACACAGTGTATCAACCATAACAATCCACCCCATATCAACTTGGCAACCAAACATTAAACAGATTTTCAGATACAAGACATGCCTATTCTCATCATTTCACAACTTGGACATTATAATACAAGTTTAACAATCCTTAAGAACCACTATTAAGTCTACCAACATTACATTACATTAAAATCAAAGCATTCCACCTCTGGCCCCCCAAAGACTCATGCACATCCCTTATGCCAAAGGCATTTAGTCCATCTGCAAGAATTGCCAAAGTCCTAATAGTGTCAGCATTGCTGAAAAATCTAAGTCTCAAGTCTCCCCTCCGAGACATAAGGCAAACTTAGCTGCAAGCTCTTGTACAAATGAAAACCAAAGGGGGGATATAGAAGAATGGGACCAAAGCAAGTCAAAATCCAGCAGGGCAAACATCAAAACCTGCAGCTCCACATCTAGCATCTGAAGCAATCCGTAACAAATTGTGAGCTCCAAAGGCTTGAGGGACTCTACCCCTATGGCACTTCTGGTGGTTACAGCTTCCACAGCTTCTCTCTTAGATATGCTTTGCTCCTTCCTTGCAGCTTTTCTTAGATGACCTACATTCTTGGCTTTCCCAAACTTTTGGGGCCTCTGCTACACCTCTGGCTTCACCCTCACAGCTTCCCACACTGTCCTCTCAGGGGCACACTGCCCTGGTCTCCAAGGTCTTCAGAAACTGAGGTGGAAGTCAGGCATGGTGATGCATGCCTATATTTCTAACACCTGAGAGGCTGTGGCAAGAGGATCACTGCACGTTCAGGACTAACCTGGGCTACAAAATGGGCTCAAGGCCAGCCTGAACTGCATAGCAAGACCTCATTGAAAGAAAGAAAGAAAGAAAGAAAGAAAGAAAGAAAGAAAGAAACTGCGGTGAAAGTCTTTTTAACCTCATAAGTGTTTCAGTTTTGCAGCAAAGGGTAGAGACTTGCTGCTTTTCATGATACCCTGCGGCCATCTTTTATATTCTCTCGGTCCTTTTCAGCACTTAAGCTCTCCTCAGCTTTACTTTTGTAATCCACAGCCTTACTGGAGCTTCCTTTCTGGTTAAAATCATATTTTAAATAATTTGATGGGCTTGCTCTTTGCTTTGCTTTGCAACATAGATCTGGCTAAAAGCCCCAAACAATAGCCATACCACCATATTAGACTGTCCTGAAATTTCTTCTACCAGGTTCATCAGTCTACTGCTCTTAATTTTAGTCTCAGGCAAAGTCTCTGGACATGAGCAAAATATGTGCAAACTTTCTGCACGCCATAACACACATCAGCTGGAGTCCAGCAACCAAGACAGTCCTTTCCAGCAGAAACTTCCCAAGTCTGGTCTTTACAGGTTTTCTGGTCTTCTGAGCTCTGACTAGAATCTCCCATACAGAACAACCTAAGTTGTTCCAGCTGTATTTTTTTTTTAGGTGACTGACAGGTTTCACTTGTATGGGATCCTGCCAAGGTTCTACATGGTGCCAGTCCAACATGGCACTGACCTTTAAAAACAACAACGTATCTCTCCTAGACTAATTGCCATGCTTGTCTTCTGGTCCAAAAACAATAAACTTTTTGTCTCCCTCTTGCGCACATGCCAAACGTCTTCCAATCGCTTTCCTGACACCGTCCCCTCAAGTAGTCTCCACCCCATCCCAATCCCATAAAAGCAACTCCCTGGCTTTGTGTCCTTTGAGGGAATCTCACATTCTTCTGCAACTCTCCTGTGCCTGCAATAAAGGCCTCTTTATTTCTCTCTCTCTCCCTTTGTCTCTCAACTGCTTCAGAAAACCTAACAGTGGCATCTCTGAACTTTTCCAAACTCTTCCCACAAGTCATTTCCAAAGGTTTTTGAACCACTTTGTCAGGTATAGTCACAGCAACGCCCCCACTTCTCTGATACCAAATTGCGTCTTAGTTACTTCACTCATTGCTGAGACAAAATACCCAGTATCCAAAATGAAGGAAAGAAAGGCTCAGTTTGTGGAGGTTGCAGTCCATAATCAGCTGGTTCCAAAACAGAGTGACTTAGTATAGGAGAAACGACAGCAAAAGCAGCAAGAACAAAAGAGGGGAAAAGAAGCCTCTTCTCCTCCCTTACGTTGTCAGCAGGCCACACCCCGCCCTCAGGACAGGTATAGCATTCCCATCATCTCTGTCTGTGCCTTCTTCTTTCACAGGCTCAGGATGTTTACAAAGTAAGGCCCCTGGCTCCCTGCTGAGTCTCCTAAACTTCTAAACTTCTCAAGTTGACAGTGTACCAACTATAACAGTTAGTAAGGCTATACTTACAGAAATAAATAGATTATACAGTATCTTTAGTAAATTTCTACCACCGAAATATGAGACCTGATTCACTGCAACTGGTTCAGGGCCATTTATTTTTTAAAAGCTACAGGCATATTCTTGTAGGACAGAATACTGCATTAGGCAAGGGTCAAAGCATTTGAAATAATTCAGCTCGACATTTTTCAAAAATTGACACTAAAGCTGGGAATTTAGCTCAGCAGGACAAGTGCTTGCCTGACCCTGAGTTTGATCCCTGGTACCAAAAAACAAAACACAAAAAACAAACTAGGTTCACAGGCTGTATTCTTTTTTGTAAAAAGGTTATTTTTGTTGAATACATTTAGGATATGCTAAGTTAAATTGGCTTCTTTGCAGTAATATTTCTCAAGAGCACTTGGCAAGATATGTAAATGATTCTCAAATTTATTTGACCCTATACTTCACTTTCAAGTTCATGAAGTAAGTCTTCCTTAAAAAACATTTTGGGAAATAGATTGACATATTTTTTAATTTGCAGATGACTATGGTATGGGCTAAAGGTACTGTGTGTACTGATGAGTAGGTTTGACATAGGATACAGGTAAAGTACTTTATTAGTCCAGCTTTGGTTGCTACAACAAAATACCAAAGCTGGGAAATTTATAAAGAGGTAATTCAGCTCAGTTCAGGAAAGTATGGCACTACCATCAAAATGACAAAAGTATGTACACAGGAGGAAGCAATTACCTCACAAGAAAGAAAGCCACAGGGTCATTCAGGGGAGCAACTTGCTTTCCAGAGAGCTAACTCAGGGTCCCTTAATCTCTTCCAAGGGCAGCACCTGAATGGCCTAGGGACCTTGCACTAGGTCCCCTCCTTCAAATATCACACTCCTAGGGCCAGGGATTTAGCTCAGCAGTGCAAGCACCTGTCTGCTGAGCATGAGGTCTTGAGTTCGATTCCCAGTACTATTTTTATTTATATATATATATATATATATATATATATATATATATATATCTCACCCTCCAAAGACTAACAGCCTAACACATAAGCCCTTCCAAATGATAGCAAGCACAGATTAATTTTTCCATAGGAAGCATTAAGAATGACTAAGATTTCCAGAAAAAAAGGCTACATGGGATTTTGATACCAATCAAGAACCAAAGGTTTCGTCACTAGCTCGAATAACACTGCACTTCCCTTAAGACACTATAGCATAGTAGTTTATTTATTTGCCCAGTTTTTTCCAATGATTTGCAAACTTTCAAAGGAAAGAAAATGTTTCTTTTCTTCTTGGCAATGCTGTAGGACTTAAAAAGCATTCAATTGGCATTTGCTGAATGAATACATAAATTCAAAAAAGTGTCAGGTATTGTGGCACACATCTATAATCCCAACACTCAGGTAGTCTGGAGGCAAGAACATGACAAGTTTGAGGCCAGCCAGGGCAACTTTACATAACTCATTAACATGTCTTAAAGTAAAAAACATCTGAGTGTGTGGCTCAGAGTGAAGGCCCTGGATCCAATCCCCAGCAAGCAAGCAAACAAGGAAGGAAGGAAGTAGGGAGAGAGGGAGAGGCAGGGGGAAAAGGAAGGTCATACTGCTTTAGAAAAGAATGGTATTTTTTTAAATTTTGAACAGAACTAGAAGATAAATATAGTGAACTCATAAAAAGAACACAAGTAAAAAGAATGCTGACTTTAACTATCAATACAATACCATGTCCACAGTGTGAATTACCACAGTCCTCTGGAAACAACAGGTATCAACAACCCAGCCTCCCAAGTACTGGGATTATAGTTTTAAAAAATATTCCAAAACCCATACAGCACTTATGTCAGAACATCTATTTTAGAACATTATATGGCATACGCTTGCAGCACCCGAAAGCACTGCAGAACTGTAGCTCTTAACATAGGTGTACTTCATGGTTGTATTTACTGTCTTTCACCAAAATTCAGTTTTTCAAATAACAGGTACTGTGCTAGTAATATTATTCCCAGAATAATGCTAATATTTCAAGTTACAGAAGGTTGTGATTATATGTGTCCATCTTC